TTTTTTTTTTTTTGAAGCAGTCTCACTTTGTCACCCTTAGTAGAATGCCGTGGTGTCATAGCTCACAGCAACCTCAAACTCTTGGGCTCAAGCAATTCTCTTGTCTCAGCCTCCCGAGTAGCTGGGACTACAGGCACCTACCACAATATCCAGCTATTTTTTGTTGCAGTTGTCATTGTTTAGCTGGCTGGGGCTGGGTTCGAACCTGCCACCCTCAGTGTATGTGGCTGGCACCGTAACCACTGTGCTACGGGCACCGAGCCAACGTCTAAAATTTTTTAACAAAAATGTCAACATTTGCTGAATGTTATTATGTCAAGCCTTGTATAGTCACTTGATGTGGGTTTTTTTTTAGAGACAGAGTCTCACTTTGTTGCCCTTGGTAGAGTGCCGTGGCGTCACAGCTCATAGCAACTTCCAGCTCTTGGGCTTAGGCGAGTCTCTTGTCTCAGCCTCTCAAGTAGCTGGGACTACAGGTGCCTGCCACAACACCCGGCTATATTTTTGTTTCAGTTTGGCGGGGCTGGGTTTCAACCCTCTACCCTCAGTATATGGGGCTGGTGCCCTACTCACTGAGCCACAGGCACTGTCCACTTGATGTGGGTGTTATGAACATGTTCATCTCTCAGATGAGAAAATCCAGGGCCTGACCAGCAGCAGCCCAGAAACACCCCAGTTCATCCCTTCCTGGTGGACTGGGCTTCACACTCTGTAAAGTGTGCCTGCAGCCGTGTTTATGGCATAGCAATTAAACCATTCTCTCCTGCCCTCTACATACCTGGTTGGGCTCAGTCCTCCCGTACATGGGCTGGTGGCTGTGGATTTCCTGAAGCCAGAAATTTGGGGTGCCCCAGAGCTATGAAGACCAAGGCCCCAGGCTCTGGAATTCTGCCATCAACTAAACAGAGGGTTCTCAGAGGGCTAAGCAGCAGATAGGAAGCTTAAACCAGGCACCAAAAGCCTCAGTGACATTTCTGTGATTTTCTTTTTCTTTTCTTTTCTTTCTTTTTTTTTTTTTTTGGAGATGGAGTCTCACTTTGTTGCCCTGGGTAGAGTGCCATGACGACATAGCTCATAGCAACCTCCAACTCTTGGGCTCAAGCGATTCTCTTGCCTCAGCCTCCCAAGTAGCTAGGACTACAGGCACTGCCACAATACCCAGCTACTTTTTTAGAGACAGGGTCTCGCTCTGGCTCTGGCTGGTCTGGAACCTGTGAGCTCAGGGCAATCCACCCACCTCAGCCTCCCAGAGTGTTAGGATTATAGGCGTGAGCCACCATGCCCTGCCCTGTGATTTTTTCTAATTAAAAAACTTAATGCATGGCCAGACAGAGTGGCTCACATCTGTAATCCTAGCACTTTGAGAGGCCCAGGCAGGTGGCTTGCCTGAGCTCATGGGGGCGGCGCCTGTGGCTCAAAGGAGTCGGGCGCTGGCCCCATATGCTGGGTTCAAACCCAGCCCTGGCCAAAAACTGCCAAAAAAAAAAAAGAGCTGGGAGTTGTGGCAGGTGCCTGTTGTCCCAGCTATACTCAGTAGGCTGAGACAAGGGGATCACTTGAGCCCAAGAGTTTGAGGTTGCCGTGAGTTATGACATCACGCACTCTACCAAGGGCAATAAAGCGAGACTCTGTCTCAAAAAAACCCCCAACTTAATACAAAAAGAAGAATAAGGCTTAGCAATGACAAAAATGCAAACTAGAGTAAAGAAATCCATTCCTCTCATCAGAGATGCTCCTGATAATCATCTTTCTTGATGGCCAGGTGGGGTGGCTCACACCTATAATCCTAGCACTCTGGGAGGCTGAGGTAGGTGGATCACTTGAGCTTAGAAATTTGAAACTACTCTCAGAAGGAGAGGTAGAGACCCTGTCTCAACTAAAAAAAGAAAAAAATAGAAAAATTGGCTCAGCACCTGTAGCTCAAGTGGCCAAGGCGCCAGCCACATACACCAGAGCTGGCTGGTTCGAATCCAGCCCGGGCCTGCCAAACAACAGTGACAACTACAACCAAAAAATAACCAGGCATTGTGGCAGGCATCTGTAGTCCCAGCTACTTGAGAGGCTGAGGCAAGAGAATCGCTTAAGCCCAAGAGTTGGAGGTTGCTGTGAGCTGTGATGTCACAGTACTCTATCCAGGGCGACAGCTTGAGACTCTGTCTCTTTCAGTGAGCTGGCAGACACCTATATGTTTTATAAGAATTACTCTGTTCAGGGCCGGGCACCCTGTTCATACTCCTGAGCTTTTATTTTTGTAGTTTTTGGCCAGGGCTGGGTTTGAACCTGACACCTCTGGCATATGAGGCCAGTGCCCTACTCCTTTGAGCCACAGGCACCACCTATAGTCCTGAGCTTTTTAAAAAATTTACTTTTCAGTAATCTTTTTTGAAAAGCTAACATGCACATGACAATTCTAGCAGTACCAAAGGACGTGCAATACACAGAAGTCTGTCCTCCAGCCTTGGGTACACACCCAGGCAGTGTTCTGTGTGTCCATCAAGATACATGCAGATACAGATAAGCATGACAAATTGTTTTCTTTTCTTTCTTTTTTTTTTGTTTTTTGAGACAGAGTCTCAAGCTGTTGCCCTGGGTAAAGTGCTGTGGAGTCATAGCTCATAGCAACCTCCAACTTGGGCTCAAGCGATCCTCTGGCCTCAGTTTTTCTATTTTTAGTAGAGATGGGAGTCTTGCTTTTTTGCTCAAGCTGGTCTTGAACTCGTGACCTCAAGCAATCCACCTGCTTCCGCTTACCAGAGTGCTAGGATTACAGGCGTGAGCCATTGCACCTACAAAGTGTTTTCTAACCTGCTTTTTTCACAGAGCAGTCTTTTTTTCCTGGACTTGACTCACAATAGGGGCCCTTTCCAAGGTCTTCATACCCATTAACACATCTGAAAGTCATTCCACCCCTGAGTAGAGGAAGGGCCTTGGGGAAGGCAAGCTGAGGCCAGGCAGCCCCAAGAAGCCACACAGTGTGTAATCTGGGAGGCTTCCTAGCCTGGCATATATAGACACTGTGCTCAGTGGCCTGGGTAGTGTCCCTGGGATGCATAGGACTTCTCTGTGTGTCTTCCTTTTTCACCCTGGGAATATGCCTTTGTATCTGCTATGTGCCATTCATACGCTTTGCAGAGATTGACTCACTTTATTCCCACAAATACCTGCTATCATCAGGCCCATTGTACAAATGGGGACACTGAAGAACAGAAAATCCTTATGACCTGCCCAAGGTCACACAGGTGGAAAGGGGTGAGGCTGGGCTGTGGACCTAGGACATCCATCCTTTGCCCTGTGGCAGTCATGGAAGCAGAGTTTGAGGAGCAGTTTAAGTTCTTGCCCAGGTAGGGAGAGAAGAGTCCTGGGATTGGTACGGTGCCCGCTCCACATGGAAGTCTGGGTGACCTCACGTAAGTCATTTCCTACTTGGGACCCCATTATGGGTCCCTCTGCAGACCCACCTGGGGATGCTTCATGAGTTTGGCTGTCAGGGTCCCTATGGTTTCTGTGGCTAAGGCTAGTGATGTCTGCAATGCTGCCAGACCTGTTGTGGACATTATTTGCTCTGACACTGAGGGGCAAATGCTGTAGCCAGAAACATGATCCTGAACTCTAGGCCCCTGGACCCTGCTCCACCACTTGCAGTGAGCTCCTTTCTATGTTATCTGTGCTTTTCTTTCGTTATCTGGAAAGAAAAAATAATAAAAACTACACTTTGAGGCCGAGGCAGGTGGATTGCCTGAGTTCACAGGTTCGAGACCAGCCTGAGCCCCAGTGAGATCTTGTCTCTAAAAATAGCTGGCATTGTGGTGGGCACCTGTAGTCTCAGCTACTTAGGAGGCTGAGGCAAGAGAATCGCTTAAGCCCAAGAGTTTGAGGTTGC